AATGTAAAGAAAGCAGGCTTGAGTGTGGTGTAATTCGAAACGGGGGTGTTTTATCCTCGCTTAGCCATGGCTGACTAAGCTATCACCAAGACTTTTGTCTAGTGGCTGTATGTAAGAGTATAATTTTTAATAAGTTTCTTTTCTCTTATTTATTAATATTATTGTCTATTATCATTTTAGAAATTATAGAGATTTATTTCTAATATGTATATAATATGTAATGCTAATAAATAATTATTTATATTCAAGGTCATGAACTTCGATATCATTTATATACAATACCATATAAAACAATAAATCAGCAGAATGAAGCTACTCTTTTCCTTCAAAGAGAGTATGCATCTGAGCTAGCAGCAAATGCAACTGCCCACTCATTGGAATTACCACTCCCATTTTCCAACCCGGTCTTGAAGATCCGAAAGGTGGATAGAAACGGGGGAATTGACTGGTATATTTACTGTCAGCAAATTCTCAACCCCCTACTCTATCCTTTTACAAGTCATGTTCTGACGGAGTTTCCAGAATGAAATATCATGATAATAGAGGACAATGCTCCGGCAAATATCCACCATTATCATGATACTCCTCCGAAAATTCTTGGGTTCCAAAAGCTTGTTTGGCCTGCCAATTGTCCAGATTTAAATCTGATTGAGACAATCTGAACCAAGTTAAAAAACATTTTACAAGATCAGATCGGACCAAGAATGACCACCTGCCAGATTAGACTAGTTCTTGAGGAGGTAAGTTTCTTTCTTTTATATCTTATATTATAATCTAATACTATAATAGGCTTGGAACAATTATCCTAAGGAACATATTAATCACCACATTGACTCCATGCCTGAGCAGATCCAAGCCTGTATAACAGATGATAGAGGAAATAATTTTAATTTCTAATTTCTAATTTTTAATGTTTAATTTTTAATGTTTAATTTTTAATGTTTAATTTTTAATACTTAATTTTTAATGTTTAATGTTTAATACTTAATTTTTAATTTTTAATTTTTAATGCTTAATTCTTAATTCTTAATTCTTAATATATATATATATTTTCTTGTCACGTTGCTGTTTGTTCTAAACTAACTGTTTTTGGGGCTCTTTTGATTTTTGTGAATCCCTGAGCACCTCCCTGCAAGCCCGGTCCATTTCACAAACGTCACGACACGACGAGTACGGTACTGGACTATGGTACTGTACATGTCTGTACAAGTACCATTAAATTACAAATTTATACGTATGAATATATTCATGGGATACCGGTAAACGAAAACGAGAAATAATCTCCCACCTCTTCCAGATCAGCAATAAGCCAGGGCAGAATTACCAAAAGTTAATATCATGATTTCCGGACACGTAGGAAATGGTTCTACGGTACGGTGCAGCATCCGTATTATGGTCCATGCTATGCACGCGAGCCGGAAAGTGGGAAGGGAAGGAAGGAAAGGAAGGAAGGAAGCACAGAAACCGAGAAGCAGACTGTTTCCCATCACGGAATGGCAGCCGAAAGCCATGCGCTGTTTCGCGTATTGGAAGAGTGATAGAGTGCGCAATCCCACCTCACCACTATAAAAAGAAAGGCCCAGAGCGGCGCGGCACAAGTAACATATTGCAAGGTTGCCTATATTCCCGAGAAATGTAGAGCAGGCTACCGGATTGTGTATATGGGTGGTGGTGAATTAAAATCACATAACTAGAAGTGAATAATAATAAAAATACAAAAATTAAAGAAAAGAATAGAAAAGAAAAGCAGCACAATTCCATCCCAACTCCTATATACACTCGAGAAAATATCCCCCACAAAGCAAAGTAAACCCCCGTAAATCACCAATTCCAGTAGTTGTCCGCGTCTGTCCCTATTATCTAGAGTACTGTATGTGTAGACATCTATTCTTGCTGCTGTGATTCTCAAGGCAAATCCTTCAATTCGCTGTCTTGCACCCATCCACCCATTGTGTAACTTGCGCCATTCCATGCGATCAGTTCCATCACTTCCTTTATATTATATTATATGCCCGTCTGTCTATCTGGAACACAGAGGGTATGATAAAGTGACAGACACATTATCGTTTCTCAACGAGCAGCATATGCATGGCTGCATACGCTAGTATTATAAAACTTCCTGCAAATATGCCAAGGTTGATGACGTCTTTCCAATATGCCAAACTATTGAAGCCGAACGTGCTCAAGATAGTTGCTCCGGGGACTTCAATGTCCAGGCCAAATCTGTTTCAACTTGTCAGGGAACCGCCCTCTTGGGGAGGTGGGGTCACTTACTTGTGTTCGTAGAGGCTTAGATATCTGACTTCGTTCACGATCAACGCTTCGAAGCCGTAGTGGAAGATGCTGACAGCTTGTAGCCAGAGTGCCCCCTTTGGAATACTGTCGTGGTTCAAGAGCAACCCGGCAAATAGGAGGGAGAACAGCATGACCAAACTGCCGACAAGGTTCGCCAAGGAGATGTCCTTAAATACGATTCCGATGAAAAGGCAGATGGCAGATGCGGCCAAGTTGAACAAGATGAGGACTAGCATGAACTTAAGGAACTCAGGCCATTCAGCAACAAAACCAACCATCGGATAGAGTATTGCCCCCATGATGATTGGTGGGATGATTCTCAAAGGAACAATATCAAATATGACTTTAGCAGCAAAATATGTGACTGGAGCATAGTATCTGTTGGCACGTTCTCTCAAGAATAAGGTTCTCTCTGCAGCAAATACGTTCAAGCTCGTAAGTGTGCTAAATCCGAAAAGTGCCAAGACGAAGAAAATTAGTCCCATGCGGTTCTGGAATCCAGAGATATCATCCCTAACACCAAAGAATAGGTATCCGCAGAGAACTAAAAGAAAGGAATTAGCAAGACATCCGACTGTGGTCAAAAGAAACCTCTCACAAACCTCCAAGAAGTATAGAGATCGCATAGTGAGCAAGCATTAAAAGTGGGTTTCGGTACAAGTTCTTCCAAGTCCTTCGGCTCAGAATAGTAAATTGTCCAATCCACCCAACTCTCTTGAAACCTTTCATTGCTCCAGAGATCCCGTAATCGCTCGCGTTACTGTTGGCATTGCCATCCGCAGCGCCATTGGGAACAGCGCGTGTGGCATTTTCAACTTCGTCCTTCACACCAGCTGCCACGTCTGAATCTTTATAGGCTGCAATCAAGACGTCTAGATCGGTAGCATCAGCCCCATTCTGGGCAGCAGGTGGGAGGAGATGCTCAGTCTCTTCGAGCCTTTGTCGTGGCTCACTAGAGTCCCTCCATGCGCGTGTATTATCCAAAGAATCTGACATCATAACCTCTTCCCCAGCAGCAGATGGCAATTCAGAACGTCTTCGTGTGAAAAGTTGCCTTTCTTGTAAAGCTCGAATCGAATCACCCCTTTTGCGAAGCTTCTTCCTTGGGCTGCCGTCGGCGCTGGCACTCTCACTCGTGATGCTCGGTGATGGCCTAGCTCTCACGGGAACAAGCACCTCACTCGTCTCGATCAAGGGTTCTTCACGGGGTGCAGATCGCCTCTGTTCAGCGTGCATCGTCAAGTCAACCAGATAATCAGCAATATTGAAGCCTTGTGGGCATGGGTAGCCAAGTTTATCAAAATATCTAGAAAAATCCAAGTTAGCTATTACACCTAACCGGATATTATGCACCATCGTAACCGGGGCTAACCTCTGACACTTATCGAACGGGCCGGAATAGACACATCGACCCTTTGCCAGGAGAACCAGGTGGTCAAAAAGCGCAACAATATTGCTTTTCGGTTGGTGAATCGTAAAGACCACAGTACGCGTGTAAGTCCTTGCTAGATTAACCAGGCATTCGATAACGTTATATGCATTGAAACTGTCAAGGCCACTGGTAGGTTCATCCAAGAACAGAACACTCGGGCTGGTGACGAGTTCACAGGCAATTCCTACCCTCCGCTTTTCACCGCCAGAGATGCCACGAAGACCGTTGTCCTCGGAGGTGCCGATTATTTGGTCCTTGATTCCCAAGATGCCCAATTGCCCCATGACTTCCATAACACGCCTATCCTTTGCCTGATAGTTCATTTCCCTAGGAAGCCGGAGAAGTGCTGAGTTGAGAATGGTTTCGTAAACGGTGAGTGTCGGCATCATGGTATCTTCCTGATCAACAAATCCAATGACTTCCCTGTATTCCTCATCCGAGACAAGAGTGCCATTGACATATATGTCGCCGCCAATAACACCACGCTTGTTCTTGCGAGCCAAAATATCTAAAAATGTTGTTTTCCCGGCTCCAGAAGGGCCCATAATAGCCATAACCTGGCCCGAATTGACTGCACCAGCAACATCCTTCAGAATTTGTTTCCCGTTAAGCGAATAGGAAAGCTTATCAAAGTGCAGTGCCGCTGGCCTGTGCTCTATCATAAGTCTTGTACTCTCATCGTCATCATCTGGTAGATGGATAGGTCCTAATCCGTTGTGTTGTCCTGCGCGCCGGCTCAAGTACCATAAACCCATAATCACTATCACAATAAAGAGAGCAACTCCAGAAATAACACCGGCAATAAGAGGTTTGTTAATAGTCTTAATCGGTCTCGTGTATCCAGGGACCTCTGATCGATGCAAACATTCTCCAGTGTCGCAGTTCAGCAGAATGTTTTCGTCCCCAAAAATTGAGGAGATGACTTCGTTCATAGCCTTTTCCGAGAACAAGCATTGATCATCTGGTTTTGAAGAATCGCAGGAGAAGGTCGCTGGCCCAGTTATTCCCTCACTCAAGAATTCGCTGAGATCAATTGTACCACCCTCACCACACAGGGTTCGTCCAGGAATACACTCGCACTTGACATTCTTGCATTCGTAGTCTGTAACGTTTCTATCGGGCGATGCCTGCAGCTCCCAATTACACTCATCAAGAGCGCAATAGAATGACTCTACCTGATCAACCCAAACTAGGGAAGATGTTAGCCCCGGGTAGGAGCTTCGAGAATTCTTCATAGAAGTAACTCACATTGAAAGGTACACTTCGCGAACATCTTATCGCAAGAAAAGGTGACTTGAGGATTTCTCTTCAACATCTCGAGAATTTTCCGATCTAAGGATAGTCTAGGTTAAAATCGTGATGTCTAACACCCATCATTGAAGACTTACTCCTAACATCACACATCTGGAAATTCTGCTTGACGGCAATGCCCTGCTTGTAGCACACACCGTCGGCACCCTGAGGCATAAGAGCGTCGCATGCACCATCGGTTTGACAAACTAATGTGTTTCCATCAGCAACCCACCCATTTCAATCTACTTCAAAAAAACACCCCAACACGAACCGTTGCAATTGATTCCGCTCCATCCTTCGTCGCACTCACACGGACCATCACCCTTCAGCGGGCGGTGATGGTCACCAGCAAGGGAGCCGCAAACTAGAATGGAACCCAATGTTAGCCGAATTCCGTGATACCCGGGGAATATAGCGGTGTGTTCTTACGCGGTTGTAAACAGTTATCCCCCGCGAAGCCCGGGAGGCACTCGCACTTTCCGTCGTGAGAGCTACACTCGGCAAACTGCTTGCAGCTAAAGGCAGGAAGCAAGCAGTTAAAGCTAGAGATAGCAGAGTCAGTATTATCATAAAAATTGGGGTTAAAATGATCGCCCCCAGGGTATTCTTTGTGAAGCTTGTGTCAGGATGGGAGCGTGGGGGTTTCACGCATTCCTGAGTGGGGTAGGACATACCACGGTGGACATTCGGCTGGCCGGTTATCCAAGCTCCAGAGATGTTGAGATTGGAGTAGATCCTTATCGGGCGTCACCGAAGTATTGTGCGCCTGCGCGAGATGGGTAGCGATCGGGGAGGTGAAGAGCAGCGCGGCTCCCAAGTATCGTAACATGGGGGACTGCGGTGACCGATGGCGGCAGGCAATCCTTAACAGGAGCTGCTACCCACAAGTTGAGATCGGACCAGAACGGTAACTATGTGTGAGCAACCAGGAGAATGAGGAGGGACAAATGACCAACACGACCTGCTGTTATTTTAATGGGAAAAGAAGTGGCCTCTGTGCCGCTAGCAAGAAAAGGCGAAAATAACGAGAAAAGAGGAAAGGAGGCAAATATGAAGGAGGATGGTTGCAGGAGGAGGAGGTTGTGTGGGGGGAGAGGAAAGGCGGCAAATGGGGGTGTTGGGGGAGGGGAGAGGAGCGAGAGAGAGGTCGTGTTCGTTTCCTCAACTTCTCTCAACCCGCGTTCAATCCATCACTGACAATGTTCTGCCCCATATTCCATACCATAATAATAATATGATAGGACTTTTTTTCTTTTTTTGTTAAGGGTGCATCTGGTCGTCCCGAGTTTTTCAAACCTTGATAATCACAAAACCTGATTTGCAGGCTGCAACTGAAATAATGGCAAGTTGTTATAATTGAGAGTTTTCACACTCCCAGAGATGTGTCTGGTCACCTGAAAATCAATTCCAAAAAGGTCACTCAAAAAAATCAGAATAATTCATGTGCAAAACAAATTGGCACCTGTATTTCAATACTTATTTTTTTAATTTTTTTACTCCAGTATTGGTAGTAGGAGTAGGTTATTGTAGCCAATGCATACCGCTTCACTTCATTTTGATATCATTATTGCGTTTTGAATATTGTGTTTTAGTATTGACCAGACATGCCACTCAAAAGCAAAATAGCATGTTGTGACAAACCTTCATAATCGGGGTCAAAATGAAGGTTTGAGGTGGCAACCAGATACACCCTAAGTCCATGGTTTATTTGTAAATTAGCTAGCTACAGGAAAATCCAAGGCATACAACCTAAGTTATAGTCTAAAAATTCTTATAACAAAAGAAATTTGGGTACTCCCCGGGCCCTTCTTGAATAACAAATAAACAGTAAATACCACATCCGATCCTGTTATAATTGAGAAATAATTTGTAGTTTATGAAATCAAATCAAGTTAGCACTTTCTGTTTATTTAGAAAATCCCCTAACAATATAGAAAAATCCTATTCTTATTAATACTTCTTTTCTACAACTTCAAACTAAAAGTGGAAGAGCCCCCCCCCCCCCAGTGTAGAGTAATGAAAGAACATAAGTTAGGCAGTAGTAGGATATCAGCTATGGTGTTTTTATCTTAAAGAATACCATTCCACTACACTTATAAAGCTCCAAGTTTAGTGGCTGGGCAGGATCATGACATTCAATCATGGTGTTGAACCCTGCTCATCATCTTCCTAATTAGGAAGGTGAAAGGTGGGGCCAGGAAAATAATAGAGATGGATATTGTACTATATGATAGGACTCTCTACCAGTACTGGTACTTGTACTCATCCATACAGTAGGGAGATTTAAAGCTCTTGGTATACTGACAGTACTGGTATTTTGGTACACTGCAAACTTCCTCAGGAGGAGGGATGCAGCATACCGGTACTGTACTGTATGGTTCGTGCGGACCAAAACTGTAACCAGATTTTTAGCAGTTTTCAAACGATTATACCATCAGATCCAGCTACCTAGGTAACCTAAAAAAACCTCTACATTATTCTCCATAT